TAGTCGGAGTAATCACCGAACACTGCTTGATGGGAACGCACCGGAAATGACTGGGCTATCCAATCAGTCGCACAGACAAGGAAGATGTGGAGATAATCGAATATTATCTATTCCACTGTCCCGCACTAGCCAAAAGGTGCAGCCACTTCTTCAACAAGTACTTTTTAGACTGTTTAGCCCACCTGAACTCGGCGAACATTCCTAATTTTCCTTGCTACATTAAACGCATTCGTTTCTTCAATTACTAAGGGAGGGAAAGGGATGGGAAAAAACAAAAATGCTTCGGCCAGTGGTATCGCAAAGGGCTTTTTCAGCTTATGTGTGCCTTCGTGCACTAACTTTACACTTGTACGCAATTGAGTATAACAATAAAGATTAAAAATTAATGGCAACCGATTATTCAACTACCATTATAGTTTTAACGCGAGCAGCCCACACAACACAATTTCACTCGTTTTTGTGTAGAAGCCAAATACTCAATATTGCACAGTTGAACAAATACTTACTTAGAAGAGGTACATCCGAGAACAAGAAAGAAAAATGAAGATGCGCGCGCAAGTATTTATTTGAACAAAATGAAGTAGTATGTGTAATATATTTTCATTAGATTCGCAAGCGCACTTAATAGTGTGTATAAATATTTAGTTGAGCGCAACGCCCATGTGGGTACTTACTCAGCACACAGTAGATAAGTGGGTTTGTACAACTGCGATATTATGCGCATATATGTATGTATGTATGTATACTCGTAGTCTGCACAAATATTGCGGATTCAATGGTAAGTTTACACCAGCAATGTAAGCTATTTAGCTACGTTTTATCGCTCCTACAAGTGTGTATGAGTATCTAACTATGTAGAAGTACTAAACGCCATAATATTTGGAATGAATTTTGTGTGGAAAATAACTTAAATACAGCATCAATCGCTTAAGTTATTTATACCGCAGCTGTGGTAGGCAACTTATCGAAGAATATATTTTCTTAAAAACATATATTTATTCGCGGAAAGCTATTTTAGCTGCTGAGCATTTTCGTAACTCTTCGAAGCAGAAAATATCCGCACTCTTTCTTGAGAGTGTAGTGTAGTGTAGTATTTGGCAGTTTCAATGCAATTTTCATGTAGCTTCTCACTTATGATTTTCTTGAAATTTTAGGAACGCAAAACATTTACACAGTGCGTCCTTATCCACGAAAGTAATGCCAGTTGACATCTACTTATTCTACTTCACGTAAAAGTATGCTTAAATGCCAAGAATGTGATGAATCGGTTACACTAGTTTAAAGCCAAAAAGCGCACGAATGAAAACATTAAATCCCATGTAAATCTCTAGCTAAGTTCGAAAATTCACATAAATTTTTCTGTTATGCAGTTTTCGAGATATCGCAAAATAACGAGATTTGATTAAAGAAATAAATAAGGGCCTGTCATGATATAAGTAATGCCACCGGCTTAAGATTTTTTTGTTATAAAAATTACTGTCGTAAAAAATTATATAACAAAAGGTTTTTCGATAAACAATTGTTTACTCTTTTACCATTTTTACAAAAAGTACGCGACAATAAAAAAAAATTGTGGATACATATTTTATTTACGTGTTATATTTAGTCAAAAATTTGACAAAATATTAAAATTTTTTCCCCAAAATCGTTTTATTTTATTTTTTTACAATATATGTAAATCGAGAATTTTCCTAGTTTTGTAAACAAAAAATATCTTTTTAATTTTTTGTAAATAAGTCAAAACGTATACAGGTTTTATGTATATGAAAACTAAAGTGCAAGCAAAAAAAAAAACGAATTTAATTACCTTTAATTTGATATATCACTTGCTTTTGTCGGTTAGTCAGCTGTCCAGATGCTAAACATTTTTGTGATCGATGTTTTTGGGGTTTTTGGTTGTTAAAACACAACAAAAGCATTCAATATACATATATATATATGTACATATTGAAATTATGGTATTAAATATGTATATATTTTGCTACAAATTTTCACATAATCATACATATGTATATTTCTTCTTCTTGAGAAAATGTAGCAGCAGATTAGTTTTACATTTCGATGTCCATGAGCAAAATAAAAGCAACAAACTCACAGTAATTTTACTTTGAATGGCTTGGTGTTTATGTAGCTTTACTACTAATTCATGCATATTTCTTAGGAAAGTAAGCTTCTTCATAATAGGCTTAAGTTTACCAATTGCCGTCGAGTATTAGAAATAATAGGATACTAATGATGTAGGATGTAATTTGTCTCGAAATAATTCCCAGTGAATATTTCTATCCGGCTTTCATTAGTTGGGTCAAATAAGCGTTTTACTTTGTATCGATTAAAACATATTTTTCACACGAGTCTCTACGAATCGGCTATGGGATATTGAACATACAAAACTTCTTCAATTTTAAGCAAACGGAAAATGGTTTACCACCTGCAGTTGATTTTTTTTTTAACCAAATTACCCCAACACCAGTGTACTCTGCTTTCTTAGGCATTTTCCAAATGCTCGGTTTGACTTAGTTTAAATAACTTAAAAACTATTTTATACATGTACAGAGATACCAGAAAACTACAGCGAAAATAAAATGCTAAGTAGTTCTTTAAGAGTACTCGGACAATTTTCACTACATGGTACTATTAACCTTTCGTTTACGTACCCTCAAGGTAATATATTTATGTATGCATATAAACACCGTTATATACATATAGTACATATATATGTATGTATTTCTATTTATGCAACATGCATGAATGAATCTTAAGTCATATATTTTCTCTTCAAAACATAACTGCATACATATGTATGTACATACACGCACATATTGTACACTCTGCGTGTGACTACCACCAACTTGCAAGCAAAGTACTCTCTCTACCAGTTTTCATACACCCTGTTACCGGAAATCAAGGCCATTTCAATGATTTACGAGCATTCCCTTATGCTCTTGCGATATATGAAAGTTTTTCTTTCCTCTGCTGGTGGAGCACTGTTATTTCCTCTAGTAACGCTGTTGTTGCTTCTGCGAATCTTAATACTGGTTTCATGATGTCCAGTTTAGTGGTCAGACAAGCTTTAGTACTTAGACGCTGGCATATTGGAGGGATGTGTGACTGTTGTGTGGCATGCTAAGGATAATTTAATACACTTTAATACAGGCACCGCATCGACTATGTGTTGTTACTAAACATTATTAGTTACCTTTTCAAATGCATGTATGAGCGGAATATGAATTTGATGGGATTGGATCTGCAAGTGGCGTCAGAGTGAGTCTGACTCAAGTTCGACAGACAAACTACACTCGGTGCTTCTTTACTGGGCTTTACTAATAATACTCTACCAAATATTTTAAGTAAAATATATTTTCGAGTTTTGCAATCTTATTGGGAAAAATGCTTTTATCGTTTCTTCTAAGACACCATTAGAACCATTTCAAGTTGAAGGATCAGTTATCCCCATGACTTTGATCTTAATATCTTGAGTATTTTTCTCTTTTGTAAAATTTAATAACTAGATACTAAGAAATTATTTTTGATTTTTCGGTCCTCTTTCAGAAATTCTGAGATTTTCTCGAATTTTTCGATATCATTTAATTTTTGGAGATGATTCCATTTGTTTTTTAAGCAGGGACCGTAACAGTTACAACTTTTTTTTTTTAAATCACTGTTTAACAGTTATTTTTTGACTTTTATTTCATTACCCCTCAAATAACAGTTATTTCTGATTTTTATTTTATAAATCCAAAATCACAATTATTTTTAATTTTTATCTAAATAATCTGCAAATAACAGTTAGTTTTGATTTTTAAATTATATGTCTTAGATAACAGTTATCGAAGAATTTTATTTATAAAATAAATATAGAAATAAAAATCAGTCATTGACTTTTACTTTTAAATGTCATCAATATAAATCAGCCATTGACTTTTATTTTTTATGTTTTTGGCAGAGGGAAATTTTTTTGAGACTTCTCGAAACTTTTTCAGATTTTTCAAATTTCTTCGGTGTTTTAGGACTCTTTGCAGATTTTCTCAAGATTTGCAAGTTTTCGGGCAATTTTTCGGTATTTTTGGAGACGGAACTTTTCGGAGTTTTTAAGGTTATTTTAGATTATTTTTTCGCGATATTTCGAACTTTGTTTATTTTTAAATTTTTTAAAGGTTTTCGCCGGAATAATTCAACTATTCAGAATTTTTTCCAGTTTTTTCGGTAGCTTTTGAGACAGTTCGGAATTTTTTGGGACTTTTCGAAACATTTTGGGTGCTTTCTGATCGCGTCGGGACTTATTGGATGTTATGTTTGGATTTTTTTCGTGTTGTTTTTTCCAGGAACTTTTTGGACTTTTTTTGTATATTTTGGGGCATTTGGGATTATTTAAGGATTTTTTCCGAACTTGGGACTTTTTTTGAAATTTTAAGTTCCAACAGTACATGTTAACCTAAAAATTAAAATTAAAATTTCACTAAAATTTTTCAATTATGAAATGCATATTCAGAGCCCGACTATCTGAGCAGTTGACAATGCGCCCGTCATAGGTTGTTGCTGAGCTTGAACAACTGACAGTTCTCTGTAAGAGCAAACACGTCTGTCCTGCAACAGATGCAATAATTTGTTTTTATTTTCAAAAAGTACCTCCAGCTCCCAAATTGGAGACGCCAGCGCATAAGTGATGGTCGCTTGCAGAATGCCGAAGATACATACATAGCTCTGGACTACTTTGCAATATTCTGTTATTCTTGCCAGTTTTCAGTTTTGGCCTAAATATTTCTCATTTCTCCACACAATTACCATACCTTACAAAAATTACAATGGCCTACCAACGAACTCACACTCACATACACACTCCATTATGGCTTGAAAGTATCGTCAATTGTTTCGTAATTTTGCTGTGATTGAAATACCTTAGCTTCTAAATTGCTTTTTCCACTATTATTTATGCCTTGGCTGCTATTTATTGCTAGCCAAGTCAATTTATTGCTTTGCAGCATCGCCTTGTAAGCACTTACCTTTAATGAAATCGACCGCCATCTCCAGTCCATAGGTATCCTTATCGCAATCGTCTAAAATGTGTGCGCCCAGCGTAACATTCGGCAACAGTTGCTGCTTATTCACCTGATCCAGCGTGTAGAGCATGGCCTCGAGCGCCTGAATGCCACCCTGTGGCATAATCGGGCCACATGTGATGCTATCCTCGCGTGAGTGGACCATCATCAGGCCGCCCAGTATGACATCGCCTTCCATTACTGAAGCGTGCTTTACGGGCCATGCAGCACCGGCTGCCGCCGTGGTGCTAGTTGCAGTTGGCGTGGACATGATTGCTGCTGCCGATGCCGATGCCGCTGCTGCTGCGGTGGACATCAAAGCATACTGTGTCGCTATTGTTGGTGTCGTTATTGACGTTAGTCCAGCCAAGGTCGGCAGCAGAAAGAACGTAGTATCTCCTGTTGGCTGAGTACCATTTGCTGCCCAATCTGAGTGTGTTATTGTTGCTGCTGACGTCGTTGGGTGCGCCTTCACGNCGGCAGCAGAAAGAACGTAGTATCTCCTGTTGGCTGAGTACCATTTGCTGTCCAATCTGAGCGTGTTATTGTTGCTGCTGACGCCGTTGGTTGCGCCTTCACTGCGGAGTTCATTACTTTGGACACCAAAGATGTGGCTATTGTCGCTGTGACAGCAGCTTTGGCAGTGGTGCTCGATACTGTCGACGGTTCTGTGGTTGCGTGTGCTGCGGCATTTGAGTTGCCTGCGGCGGTAATACCGATAATGCTCTCTGAAGTGTTATTGCATGCGCTTTTTGGGTTATTGCTAGTTGTATCCGCCAATACAGCTGTTGTAGTTGTTGTTGGCGACCATTTGGCAGGCGTAGCATTGGTTGTATTGCTATTTGAGGTATCAGGAATTGTGACTGTTGTTTGAAGTAATGTGCCTGTTGTAACATTTTTTATTGTTGTAATTGGTTTTTCAGTCGCTTGATTGTGCTTTGGCAATCTGTTGGAATTAAATAGACCTGAGGCATTATTTCCGCTCTCATTGTTAGCGTCAATGTTGGTCCTCATTGTTGCAGCGCTAGCACCCGTCTGCGCCACCGCATCCACATCTGTTGCGTTGTCATGTGTTGCTTTGGAAAGTTTCATGTTGGTGGCATTTACATTTGGGGCTGCGTAATGAAGCTGGTGCGTATTGTTCGCATTGATTTCCGCCTCAGTCGCCGCTGCTGCAGCTGCTCCATTTACCAGCCGTTCGCCGACATCCAAATTGATTATCGTGGTAGCATCCATGTGGCTCACTGTGCGCGCGCTCATCATTTCCTCTAGCATTGTGTTTACTGTGGCTGTTGTGGTTGTACTCGTTGTTGGCGCTTTTTCTTTTGCTTCCGCTTTTGAGTTATCATCGTTGGCGTCCTCCTTCGCGACCACTTCGCCATCAGCGTTGAACAATGTGGCATTCAGCTTTAGTGCCTCACCCGTTCGCATGTCAGGGCGGCGTATGTAGGCTGCTACTCGGTTTTGCCTTTGTTGCCAGTCTGCCATAGTCTCGCTTTCGGTGCGCTCGTTGTAATCCAACAGCGGTAGCGGCAAACTAACAGCATCCCAATCACTTTGTTTGATAGTCTGCCGTTGAGCGTCTCGCGTTTCATTTCCCTTATCGCTTGTAAAGCGGCTGTCGTCCTTTAATAGAGGGATTGAGATGAGCTGTACTTCTTCGACGGCGGGCTGTTGCGCTGCCATTTCATTGGTTGTGCGCTTACTATCATTAAATGTGGCGAGTGTGCAGTTTTGCGGCTTCATTAAGAGATTTACGAATTTTTTCCTTTCCTCCATCTGCGGAGTGATTGCTGGCGTGAGCTGTTTCGGGTGATTTTCGAGGTGTAACTTTGGCGGTACAACTAATCCAGGCTCTATTTTCTTGCTAGGCGCATTTAAAATTGTTTCTCCCGCTATAATATTTTCATTTGTAGCATGCAAATTTTTTGTGAGTTTCACTTGTTTATTGGGTAAATTTTTTGCTAGTTCATTCTCCTGTTGNGCTAGGCGCATTTAAAATTGTTTCTCCCGCTATAATATTTTCATTTGTAGTATGCAAATTTTTTGTGAGTTTCACTTGTTTATTGGGTAAATTTTTTGCTAGTTCATTCTCCTGTTCGTGTTCGTTAATCTCCACAATTGGTTGTGCCGTCATTTTTGCGCTGTAATTCACATTAACTAGTAAACTTTTTTTGATCGGTTCCTTCGCATTTAGTAAAGTTTCTTTTGCGCCTATAGCTTTGGTATCTGCCGCATTGCTATCTATCATCGGCCTGCGCTTAAAACCCGCAGCTTTCAGTTCACTTGTGTTAGTGTAGCTGTCCGCAATTTTGCTGTTATTATTCCCAAGCGTAAATAGTGTTTGACGTTCCGTCATATTTGTCTTATTTAAAAAATGTATGCCTTGCATTTCCGCTGAGTTATTTACTTTGCTCTGAGCTTCTGCGAAATCTGTGCTTTGGCGCGCATTAGTCAGCTTCTGCTCTAGCTGCTTTTCGTCTTGTCTCCACAATGACTCAGCTGCCACAGCTACACTGAACTCACCCGCTCGCTGCTTGGACACAGTAGTCGTAGGTTCATCGTCGCCGACTTGTTTGTTTGCATATTTCAGTGCGCGCTGCAGTTCTTCAGGCACTTTTCTCTTGCTGTCTCCTCGCTGGCTGTAGCCCGCGCTTTCGGCCACTGCCTGCTTACTCAAATCAACGTTCGCCCTAAATTCTGTCTCGCTTCTTGTTTTTTGCCACAACTTGGCCTCATCTGTTGACTTGTCGCGGTTAAGCTTCGGCATTGCATTCTCATTTGTGCCACTTAAGCTTTTATTTGTGCTGCCTCCATGAGTGGCGCTTTGGTTGTTTGCAAGTTTTGCTTGTTCGCCAATTTTGGTGAAAGTTTCCACTGACTTCGCTGCCTTGTTCTTCACTTTGGCCAGCTTAGGATTTTTTCGTTCAGCACTAACTGCTTCGAACAACATTTTATGCTGCTGCTGCTGCTGCCGTGCTGCTAATTCACTTTGATTGTTAGGTTTCTTTAAAGTTTGCTGTTTACTAAAGAATAGCTCATTTAGCGCTAAAATATTTTCAGTTTCATACACTCGTTCTCCGAGCGCCGCCAACTGCTCCTCACGAGGCTTTGATTGCCAGTTTGTTTCCTTCAATTCTGGTCTCTGCATTTTTCTTCGCTTCTCGGCAAGGTTAAGTCCATCTATTTGCACGGCTACTGCCGCATTCGGTGCTTGGCTAAAGTACTTGTCTTTCCCTGCCACCTCACCTTCCAGTGGCATGGGAATTTGTTGCGCTTTCGACTTTGTCGGCAAGTGGTCGCTTTGCTGTTCCAAGTGGTTGCTTTGTCGACGTGGCTTGTGTGTGATCAACTGTGATTCTTGAGCTGGCGGCTTTGTGTGCACTAAATACATCGCTTCTGTCTCTGTGTATCCTCGCTGCAGATCCATTTGACTTTTGGAAATTGATTGCTGCGGTGGTGGAAAACCTCTTTGCCGCCCACCTTGCACACTGTCTGCTAATTGCTTTGCGCCTTTCGAAGCTTGATGTGCTACTCTTACACCGCCTACTGCATGCAAATCATTTTGCTTAAAATGCTTTTGCTCCGCTTGCTCATTTCCTGACTGCGCTGGCATAGTCAACTCATCTGTCAGTGCAGCCAATTCAGCGCTTATCGGCTTCTCACTCTTAGCTGACTTTGCATTTTCATTGTTAAAACTCGGCTTTGTGTTTGTAAGCTTTAGTCGCGCTAAGCGCCTTTCAAGATTATTATTGTCTACCGTCGGTTGCACGCCTTTATTTTCTTTTAAATTTCTTCCTACCTGCTCTGACTTTTCGTCTTTAGAGCTTACAGTTTGAATAACTCTTGGCTTCTCCGCGGAATCAGACCACCCCTCCTTCACGCTGTCAGCTCTTAAGCCGCCTTCAGCTGAACTACTTGAAATTGTTGGCAAAATATTTACTGTCATCGCTGACTTGGAATTTAAACTCTCGTCTCGTCGTCCCGCCACAGTAGCACTTTCGCTTGTACGCAATGCTGCAGCGAATACCTTACTAGAGCTTTTGCCGTTTTTTACCTCCTCTGCGAATACTTTGCTTGTTACTTCAGGGTCAGAAGTAACCTTCATCGTTGTTGAGTTAACTATTTGTGTGATCGTTGTTGGTGTTGTTGTTGCCATGCTTACTGTACTAGCTGGTCTAACAAATTGCGACATTTGTTTGAAACTTGTATTGGCTACCTTGTTGGCGCCTCTGCTGATTAGAGAGTCATTGCCATACCCATCCCCATCTCCATCATCCACGCGAAGTTTGTAAACAGCTGGAGCATCTGCATCAACATCGCTATTACCTGTTTGACTTAGCGTAAGTGGCTGCCTTACTTTCGGCGTTCGTGCCGTTATTGGCATAGCTTTCAGCCATAAGAATGCCACTTTACTGCTGCTCTGAGACTCACTGGCCTTCGTTGCTGCCGCATTGCTATTCGCTGCCGCCGCCCGACTCCCGTTATTATCCCCAGTTTCCTTCTTGCCACTGGCATTCAACTCCGCTATGCTGCTAATAGCTGACGTTAAATGCAGCTGTGACAGTTTGGTCATATCTTGTTTCTCTAAGCGCTCAACCACCTTTGCACCACCCATTAATGCCCGCACCTGGGTGAGTGCGCTGAAACCACTAAAGTTTTTGTATTTTGTGCTGTTGCTAGTCAAAAATGTGTAATTCGCAGCAACAAGTTTACTATTCCCGTTTATTAGTGTTGCCATTGTCGTTGCCTCAACTTCGTCCCCCTCAACGCTGAATTCTTCTTTTGTTTTTGTCGGTTGCATCCGCAACGATGTTGCTAACAATTTATTCGACATTTGTTTTTGTAGCTCTTTTTGTTTCACTCGCATTTTGTTAACATCACTCATTTGTGCAACTTCCTGCAACTCACTGCCTCCGTTCATCAACACTTGCCCCCTGGCAATGCCGTCGCTTTCGAAAGTGGCCTTCTTCATTGCCAATGCCATTTTCTTTGCCGTGACTGCGCCAACAATCTCGCCACTAATGACTTTTGATTTATTAACTGCATTTGAATGCAGCTGCAACATTTCAAAGCTGCCAACTGACCGCGGAGCGCCCGCCTGCTGCTGCTGCTGTTCACTTTGGTTGGCAGTTGTGGATGTTGGAGACACCAACACCAGCAGTAAAAGTAGTAGTGGTGTTGCCGCAACAGTAATCATGTTAATTATAGTTGGTTGTTGCGGCGCGTTTGGCAAATAGTTGCTGGCCTCACTAACTCTGTTTCGCCTCCCCATGGCGTGGCACATCAATGCGCAGCGGCTGCGCGACCTCTGAAAGCCAGCTAATGCGTTTTGGCGTCGTTGTGGTTGTTGTTGTTGTAATGTTGGTATCACAAATGCTCTCGTTGACAGTGTGCGTGTGTTTAGAGTGAACGATGGACTCTAGTTTCGGTTACATAGATGAGCCACAAAATGCTGGGACGTATGATTAATTAATTACTAATTGAGCATCATCGCTCATAAATACTTGATTAAAAATTTGTTTGCGTTACTTGAAACCTTTGCGCATATTCACAACCCTGTAGATATTTTAACGGTAAGGTATTCCAGTATGGAGTCATTTTTCATGTTGTCACCTGCAAAAAAGGAAATAAAAAATGTTTACTTTAAGAACCAGTTTGAAAGTTTTAAAAATGATTAATTTTTTTATATCGATAAATATATATATACACATTCACGAAGGTTAATATGCACACGGATAATTATAACGATAAAATCATCGATAAACGTTTCAATATTGCCGACATGTCACCATATCGTTACATATGTATGTAACCATAGCGGTTTGTAGCCGAAAGCAAATCTGCTTTTGATTTTGAATTTTTATTTGATTTTTCTGATGTCGCTGCGAACAAAAAATTAAAGCACCTAAATGAACATTTGTTTTCATTTATTTTATTTTTATGCACCTTAAGAGTTTGAAGAGCATTATTAAGTGAGATTTTCAAAAAACTTTTCGTCTTATTAAACACAGTTTATTTTTTTTTATGGATAAGGGTGTTAGCTAATATATTTTCGAAGGTAAATTTAATTTATACTTCTATAACTCGATTCAACATATCTTGCNTTTTCTGATGTCGCTGCGAACAAAAAATTAAAGCACCTAAATGAACATTTTATTTTCATTTATTTTATTTTTATGCACCTTAAGAGTTTGAAGAGCATTATTAAGTGAGATTTTCAAAAAACTTGTCGACTTATTAAACACAGTTAATCTTTTTTTATGGATAATATATTTTCGAAGGTAAATTTAATTTATACTTCTATAACTCGATTCAACATATCTTGTACTTTAACTTTGTCTGAATAAACATTTTTAAATCGTTGGCTAACCGTAACGCAAATACCTTCGACAGTATACTTTCTTATCTTACCAATTTAATAGTTTGATACAAATTTTTAAACAGGTGGCAATCATCCTAAAAAATATTTTTGGCGCTAAATATTCCTAAACCCCTTTGGTTTGATACCAATATTTCAATATTTAACTTATATTATCAATTAAATCATATTAAAATTTTGAGGCAATTGGAAACCTTCCACGAAAGTATTTTAAAATTTTAAACAAACGGCAACTCTATATTATTTTCCTATAATTTGAAGTTAGGCCGTTAGAAAGCCATCGGTGAAAACTGCATTCGATTCCATGCATTGCATGCAGACAGCCGGTTTTTTCTTCATTTTTTCTTTCAAATTGCAATTTTCGAATAACTCGAGACCCGGTTTCTGCCAAAAGCCGAATAATCGAGCACTCTAGTACATACCCTTACTGACGATGAGGCATGCTTTATAAAAAGTTTGCTCTAACGAACATTTTGTGAAACAAGTTTGATTCGTTCTCCCAAAAGCTGTTTGTTTTCTTGGACTAATTACTTGATCCGAGGCATCGGCCGTTTTCTTGCCAGTAGATAGTTCCAACAGTTATGAAAAAAAATCGATTATAGCGCTTTATTCGTCATAAATCCAAACATGTGTATGCGTAAAGTAGCAAACGCCTGGCATACCCATATGCACAGTGCAGTAGACCACACCGCTGTAGTTACCACGCTGAAGGTATAAGCTTTGAGAGTAGGCCTTGGCTAGCGCATGCCCGAATGTACCTACTGACCAACAGTGCCTTTTGTAGACCAAGAAAAATAAATCTGTAATACCTTGCCTCGATATTCTCTTTAACATTGCTTCTGGGTCTGATTAGTAAATATGTGCTCGGCGCCCCTACAAAATAATTTTTCCTTTTTAAGCCCATTTCCAACGTTTTCAATCATTACTTGTTCAGTGTTTTTTTTTCGTAGTAAGTGGATTATGATTTTTCTTTAAAAAACTCCATCTAAGGAGAATGGTTTTCGATGTACAGGTAAACTGAATACGCAAAATAGTTTTTCTTGTTTAAGCTTAGAATCCAGTTCTCAAAAAAATCATAAAGGCAGTATCACACGATTGGGAATTTGCCCAAAATTTGTTGAAAATTATATCACAATCGTGTGAATGCACAAATATTTTTGTTTATCCCAATCAATTTGTTCAAATTTTTCAATAGAAGTTCGCTGTATTGTACCAATAGAGTGACTACAAAAAAATTTCCATCCCAATTTTTATCGTGTGACACTGCCTTAAGAAATACTTTTCATTCTTTCTCTTGCTTGAAAAAACACTTTGCTCTTGCTTTAAATTTTCCTAGAGAAATAAATATACGAGCATTTTTTTCTTGCGTTCTGCAAACTGATTTAAGAAAATTTTATAGATAAAAATTTCTTTTCCATTTCTTGTGCGCCATTTCATATGAATTTTTAGTTTTTCTTGAGGGCTGGAAAGAGTCCTTTAATTCAAAAATCGTTTCAAATTTTAAAAATGTAACCATTTATGTGAATATTAAATAAACTAAATTAATTTTTTTATTTTTCAACTTAATTTTCAGAAAAATCCCGTCTCCTTTGAAAATCTAGGCCCGGAAGAAACGCCCTGTTTGCATCATCAATCTTTATTTCTAACTTACGCTTGACCTAGATTTGGTATAGGCATGTTTCTTTTAAGTAAGTAAGCTACAACTCTAGCTTCTTTTCGAGCAGATTACAGTTTAAACCAACCTACTTATTTGTAGAACGTTTAACCATTTTCCCGCATTTTATAAGAGCATTATCCAACAACAAATGGGCAAAGAGCAAGATGGAGCCTTCGTTTTGAGTTTTGAGTAGGTCATCTCTGTGCTAGATATTTCAACCGAACCAAACCGCCCTACATGCATTGATGAGACTACATATTCGTGCCCCAGTAATGAAACGCCCTATTTTCGTACTTTAGTGCTCAATAACAATTCGGTCGAATGCTAAGGAAATGCTTTTTTGATCTCTTAATTTCAGTAGCCTACTGGACTGTCTGTCGCAATTCTACTCCTGAGTTATTTAAATAGCCTTACTTAACACGCACAAAAGCCAATTTTAAATCTCCCTCAAATCTCATACTTTGGCAACCAGGATTTTTCAGCCTACCAAAATTTTTTATATCTATCGGACTGGATTTAAGGTGAGCTCATTTGCATTTAGATTCTTTTAACGTTTACGAAATTAAATCCCAGTTCCTACAAACTTAAATCTTTATTTCGAAAACAACTAAACCCCCGGCGTTTTATTAATTTACTTAAAACACTTGAAAGTTTTTCCTTGGTGTTGCCAAACTCTCAGTTTTCAATAGCAAGCAGCTACTCTATGAAAATTTTTGCAAATAAAATTACAAATTAGCCAGACAATGGCGAGAGTAATAACAATAACAATAATGATTATGGTAATGATAATAAAACCGATAATCCGATTAGCGATGGCGGATAACTACGCGCGATTCACCTGTAAAATTTGAGTGCCATTAAAACGCTTAATTTAATATCGAATCTAAAAGCATATACACACATAACATACGTATGTATGTATGTACAGCATTTCGCTTGTTTCATAATTATATTAATTACGACAAAGTTTCGAATAACCAAAGTATTCACTTAATGGAAAATTAATAGCTGCGAGTATATATACAAACAGCGCATTTTTCTATTGTTCCCCAGCGGACCAACAGACAGACCTTTAGCGAAAGCCCAGCAAAACGCACAAGAGCATTTCAGCTTGAATTTTGCGATAAAAATCAGAGGCCAAGGGAAATGAAACTTTGACTGGCACAAACTGAACGATATGAAAATAATATTGCTTTCGTTGCCCAATTCATTTGCGAAAGTTTTGCCGGCTTAAATCTCGCATTTCACTCGCGGTATCATTTTCGAGCATTTGATCCGAGATATACACATATTCGGTGCCTTTGTAAAGACGTCTTAGATCTTATGGCATAGGTAATGTGACCAACTATTTCATAGCTCAAAGAAGTACAGGTTAGATTGGGTTGAAGTTAACGTGGCTAATTTCGATCCCCGAGAGCTCAGTGTTTGTTCAGAAGTGCGAGCCAAAATGTTTCCATCTTAGCCTCGCGAAGGTTGAACAGTCTAAAAGAAAGTGTTTAAGTGATTCCACTTCATCTTCCTCTTGACAGAAGATCGGAGAAGTGCAGGACCTGTGGGGAGATTTTTAACCAGTTAGCGACAATTTTCGAATCTCTATCGAACTTTCTGACTCAAAAATATTTATACCATGCAAAAGGATCGGTCGAAATTCCTAGTCTCACCGCACGACGACTTTAATGGTTTGAACGAATTTATCATCCAGGCCATGTGACGAATTTTCGAATTGCTATCGAACTTTCTGACTCAAAAATATTTATACGATGCGTCAAAAAGTGCGATAGCGATCCGAAAATTGTCGCTAACTGGTTACAGAATCTCCCTCCTGTAGTATAAAATATCGCAAAGACGTAGATTTGACTGTACTTCGAAGAACGAAGTACAACAGCGAAAAAACAAGTACTGTACTTCCGAAAGAGGTGCGGTTGGTCACATTAGGCATAGGTGCGCGAAAAAAACTGATTTTCTTTTTTGGGGTTTTACTTGATTTTAGGTATTTTATCTCGCTGTTTTTTTACTAATATTATGTTGGCATAACGATTCTACGATTTTTATCCATAAAGCTTGAGGACTGTAGTTGAGCAATTAACAAGTTTCATTTTGGTGACTATGGTAATTTCCGCGGTTTTGCAACTAGTTGATGGGTGGTTTGGCGAAATCAGCG